CTTTCACCCAGAAATTATTCAGAAACATAGATTGCTACAATATCACTGAAGCAAAAATCACCAAAATTATACCCATACAAAATATTCCATACTTATATCTAATACACCCTCAAATATTCAACCAAATAAGGTCCACTGCCTATATATAATTGCCAAAAAAACTTATGACACAGATTCCTTTGACTCAATCAAGAAAATACTTCTTTCAATCATAGTTTTAATTAAAGTATCTACTTAGTTAATATTATTATAAAAATAAATTTATTTTTAAACATTCCTCAACCATTTAACCCCCAATCATTTATTAGAAAGTCTAATTTATTTTATACATATTAATTGCAAATATTAAAATCATTTATTTTTTTATATATATTTGTTAATTTTTCTAATAAAATTAGTTTTTATAGCTTATCAAATTCACTTGATGTTTCAAAAAAAATCTTACTATCCACTTATTGTTCATTTATGGAATCCTTATTATTAAATATAATAATATTTTATGATTCATATCTTATTAATAAATAAAAATGATGCACCAATATTTATTGTAGTTGCTGGTACTTTTAATTTTAGGTAAGTAATTTATACCTTAAAATAATAATCAAAATTTATATAAAAGATCTGTATAGATATAATTAAATAAAATCTACAAATTTTGTTTTACTAATAAGAGAAATCAATGTTAATTTTTTTCTTACTTTTTTAACTTATTTTTATTTTGTATTTATTGATTTTATTATAAAGGATGAACCAAAGATATACTCTAAAAGTAGATGAAGATCAATTAATTACGTTAAGAAAATAAGATTTTATAAAAAAAAATCCTGTCAATTAAAAAAATTTTTGGATTATGTGTTCTAGATGAAATAAGTTAAACCATCTTAAAAGATGGGTTGAGAGCTCATCTCACTTAATTTTTATTGTAATAATCATTTATAATTTTTTTTGTTTTAATTATTTCATCTTAATTATAAATGACAAATGAAAACATCTTTTTTTTTTTTCAATAAAAACATAGTGTAATAATAACATTTTTTGCATGAGTATAAATTATTATATAAATCATTTAAATAAGGTTTATACAAAATATATAAAAATATAAATGTCTACACTTTAAAAAACAAAATGTATTTTTAATAATGTGATGATTCACATTCATATTATCTTTGATTATAAACATTCATCCTTTTTGATTCTATCATTACCTATAAAAAATAAAATATATTTACATTAGCATAGATTATATATAATATCATAATTTTTATAATATGTCTTATATCAGGCCTGTTCTTTATACAATATAATTTTTAAAAAATAAAAGAAGATATAAATATTAATTTACATGACTTAATGATTATTAAATTGTAATGCTTTTGTAAGATTTTGCCTCACACCAGTTCTCAATTCCTGGTTTCTCAAGTCAGCAAAATGAAAAAATCTAATATTTAAATATCTTTAAAAAAAATAGTATTAAAACTAATAAATGATTACCTTTGAACAATTAATTTTACAAGAATTTGAAAATGGCTGTAACCAATCTCATCATTAATATGTTCAGTAAGATCAATAAAAATATTTGTACCAATTATTGTGGAAAAAACCAACACTTCCATTTTTTTAATAATATTTTTATGTTTAATATCATTTTGATAAGTTCTAAATGAACTTTCACAAATTCTGCATGACATACTAGAAGAAGGAATCACTAACCCCCCATTATTTTTAAAATTTATGAGCATATTATTTATATTATTATCAATATATGAATCACTGACCATTGCATTAATGCAAACATCACATCGTACCTTTTTTTCTTTAATAAGTTGTTGTACTATATATCCCAAAATATAAGTTGTTAAATTATCTAAATATAATGATAATTTCGGGATATGAGGATTTGTTTGGCTAAAATAATAAGATAATGCCTGGGGTATTATTGGATTTGAAATAGTTTTGATAGAATTAAAATCATCGTCATGATTATTTTGAAAATTTGAACATATTAATTGAGTGTTATCTAAGGAAATGCAATTTCCTGTAATTGTAGTATCCAATTTCGCCATTAATGAAATGCGAACAGCAGATCGAATACCTTTAAAAAATATTTAATAATTATATATTTATTATCAAACTTTCATTTTTTGTTTGTGGAAAGCAATATGTGCTTTGTGCAATTTATTTGCAGCACGTAAACCTTCGCACTCCTGCAATTTATGTAAATTTTGTATATGCTTCCAATCTATTATCTATAAATACAAAATAAATATTTAATCAAATTTAATATAGCTAGCTACCTCTCCATTTGATTCATTTATTAAAATTTCCTACTCCGCTAATAGATTTCTAAGTAATTTGAGCATATGACAAACATCTAGTAACATATATATTTTTTCCGATTTATAAAATTCCAGCTCAATATATGGAATGATATTATCAGGATCCATACCAGTGGCATAGCTAGGAATTTTTCTTAGAGGGGGTCCATACATATAAAATGCAAAATCATAACCATATCTTCGATAATATATAATAAATATATTTTTTAAATGCATCAATAATATGTTATTATAATTTAGTCGATTATTCTCAATGACTTTATAATAATACTATCCAGAATAATTTCAATAGTAATATAATATCCTTCCACAAACATCAAAACCTGAAAAATATAAATATTAATGGTATTAGTCACTTTTAAGTCTTTAGAACGTAAAATCTAAAAAAAAATTTTGCTCTGGGAGGGGTCCAAACCTAAAAACCACCCCCGTAGCTACGCCACTGATCCATACTAACACCAAGCAGTTTGCTCATTTTTTTATTAACAGCACATCCATCACATACTATGGCCTTACAGATAATTCCTGTTTTATTTAGATTGAACAATGCAACTCTCACTAAATAGCTAGGATATCTGAATTCATTTGTGAAACTAGAAAATAGGCTATTGGCATTTACCAGCTGCTATTAAGACAGGTAGCCATAAGAAACAGTGCCTTTGTTGCTTCTGGACAAGATTTATCTTCTTTTGTTGATTTTGTCCCATCACCTAAATCAACATAACCATGATATTCTGCTTTGTGGGGGTCATAATCTATTTGAGTTTTAATATGCATTTCATCAAGGCTAAGTACACAATACAACTGCTTTTCTGATTTTTTTTTGGTAGCTTTTAATTTAAGTAAATGAAATAGAAAGGAAACCTTTATTTAATTTAATTTATTTTTTTTAAATTATTATAATAAACCTGGCATAATTTCAATCTTGCGACTCCATGCCCTTAATGTGGATTCCGGAGGCATACAAAAGTGTGATTTGAGATATCTGTAAGCCTTAGGTGAATAAAAATGCATAGTCAATGCAAATTGACGGAATTCACTAGTATATATTTTTTTGTGGGTTTGAGATGCCTCCACTGTGTATATGTGTTTTAAGGAATATAGAAGATGTCCCTGTAAATTGCCTGTCTATAATATTTTCGACATCATCTGATAACAAATTTTCATCTTTTAGTGAAGTGATTATTGTTTGTAAATTGATTATTTTATTTTTTCCTTTTTTTGAGCTCCTATAATAAGCATGTGCCCTTTTTTTAAGCGTTTAATAATAGCCTTGTGGTAAATAATTTTTCTTTTTAATGTTTCATATGTCGCGGAATAATTATGATCATTTATTATATGTATAATTGGATCATTTTCATATAATATATCACTTTTTAATGGTGTATGTTATTTGAATAAACATTCGTTTTCTAAAAAGTATACATTTTAAAATATTGTTTTAACTATGTAATGATATTGTTAACATACATCATGAAGTGGCTTAGATATACTAAATATTGATGGAATTGAATCTTCCTTCAATAAAATCTTTCCGGATAAAGTATGAATGAAACAAGTATTTTTAAAATGCCTTCCACAAATAATACTATATTTATTAGGCATAAAATTTTTCCTATTTATAGCCTGTAACCATTTTTCCAATAATTATTTGGATTTTAATGGAAATCTATATTTAAAAATAGGTGAATAATAATGAGTAAAATATAAGATATATTTATGACATTGATACAAAGATAGATAGTATATAAAAATCAATATAAATATCAGATCAGTTATTAGTAATATAGTTATGAATCAGTGAAAATTTGTTGATTGGCAGAGCCTCTATTAATATATATATGGTTTACATATTTCTTACAAATATTTAAAATGAAACTGTATCATAGTAAATATGTATTTTAAAAATGGCTAACTCAATATTTTATCCAGAAAAATATTTAGGCAAAGTTCAAAATAGAAATCTTATCAACTCAAGAGGAAGAAGCATTATTTGTCCTAGCAATAAAAATGAGAAAACTTTATATTTTTACTAAATAAGGATTTTTTTTCAATGTTTGTAGCTTATTAATGCTTTATGTAATAAATATGTTGCATATAAAAAATAATATATATACTTATGATAAGAAATATGTGTATTAGATTCTATTTTATTTGTTTTATTACAATTATGAACACAGCACACTCCCATTATCTAAATAAAATAATAAAAGTGATATTAAAAGATCTGTTTTGCATGTATCCTAAGATGCATTAACATAAGATTTATAAGTCCATGCAGGATTAGGTTAAACTATATTTTTAAAAATTAAAAGGTGGGTTAGTCTTAGATTTATTTTTTAAATATAATCACCTAGACCACCTTCATAAAAAAAGTCTTATGAAAATTTAAGAATAAAAGATACTATAAAATATTATATCATAAATCGAAACCTTTAAAACTAAATTATCGTAGTAGACTCGTTTTGGTATCGTCCCTCTAATTCGTATGAAAATTTAGGAAATAGGTTTTTTGTCGTAATTGCAATAGTTCGTTCCCAAAAAAAAGCCAATTTGCAATAGTTCGTTCCCAAAGTCGTATAACCACTAAATCGCCATGTTCAAAATCGCCAAAACGTCCAATAACACCCTCAAAACATCCCCAAAAAGAGCTTCAAAAAATGGCCGCTAAAATTTAAAAAATAAGCCAAAGTTGTTTAGAAAGGATTATTTTATTTATAATATTTAACAGAAACCTTTTTGCATCAATATGAATTTACAAGATTATTCCAGGATACCAAATATTCAATTTAAAGTAAATTACCATTATTATTACATTATATATTTTTATTAGAAAACCCAAAAAAACAATGATGTAATTGTCTATTTGGGCTATGAATATTTAATCAAGGGCAATGGTCAAAATTACATTTACCTAATATGTAGATGTAAATGTGGGGGTCGAGCCAAGCTTTCACTAGTAGATATTGTTGTTACAAAACAACATATTGACACTTGTAAATGTAAGAATATATCTTCTTCATATATTGTAACAAATTATTTATTTTTAAAGATGCAACAGTATCAAGGCTCCCTAATTCTTTGCAATGTATTTTAAAATTTTTATTAAACTTAATATTTTTTTTAGCAAATAATAATCCTATCCCCCAAATACCTCAAATTAGGACAACAGGTGGTATATTATTGCAATATTTTATTTTATATCATTTATTTTTTAAGATGCAACAGTATCAAGGCTCCCTATTCCTTTACAATGTATTTTAAAAATTTTTAAACTTAATATATTTTTTTAGCAAATGATAATCTTATCCCCCAAATACCTCAAATTAGAGTCCTCGAATTTCCTCAAATTAGGGCAACAGGAGGTATATTATTACAATATTTTATTTTATATCATTTATTTTTAAAGATGCAACAATATCAAGGCTCCCTGTTCCTTTACAATGTATTTTAAAATTTTTATTAAACTTAATATATTTTTTTTAGCAAATGATAATCTTATCCCCCAAATACCTCAAATTAGGGCAACAGGAGGTATATTATTACAATATTTTATTTTATATAATTTATTTTTAAAGATGCAACAGTATCAAGGCTCCCTGTTCCTTTACAATGTATTTTAAAATTTTCATTAAACTTAATATTTTTTTAGCAAATAATAATCTTATCCCCCAAATACCTCAAATTAGGACAACAGGAGGTATAATAATACAATATTTTATTTTATATCATTTATTTTTAAAGATGCTACAGTAACACATTTACAATTGCATTCTTCTTCAAGCCCACCATTAAATTTATTGCCTAATGTAGATGGTAATTAAATATTTTTATTGAATAAAATTAAATAAACTATAGATGATTTTGAAATAATAGATGCGGCATATGCTATGCTTGACATAAATCAAAACATTTATGGTAAAAATATAATATAATGATATAATATATATATGTTATTAAAGGTCAATTTGTTAATGGTCAAAAGGGAAAACCATTCCTCTTTTATCGAGAATATCTCTATCGTTTTCACTATGAAAGGGGGGATGTAGTTCAGTACCGTTGCAGAAAACAAGGCTGTCCTGCAAAATGTAAATATGACCATATTTACATTTCATCAGGTGTACATGAACACCAACCTGATGTCGGGTATTTTGAGGTCCTCAAAACAAGAGAAGTTCTTGAAAGAACTATTGCCCAAAATCCTACCGAAACAAGGATGAATATTTATCAAAAAACTATCGATATTAGATGTTTAGAGACTACTCACATCGAAAATTATCCAGAGGCAATCCCTCCTTTTATATCAATTAGGGGTCATATTGACAGACTTCTAAAGAAATATAGGCCTTCCATGCCTCATTCAATTGAGGATATAATATTAACGCCTGTATATGCAACCTCTACCAGATCTCAAAGATTTCACATCCCTACTGAATCTAATAGGATATTGGTCTTTGGGACTACGGATATGTTAAAATTGTTGGGAGCTGCTACGACAATATATATGGACGGAACTTTCTACATAGTCCCGAGATTATATTGTCAGCTCTATACCATACACGTGATGTATGAAAACATCATGATACCAGTTGTATATGCTCTCCTTCCAGATAAATCAAGGGAGACATATATTCAACTTTTTCATATAGTCAAAAATTTTTGTACCCGTGAAGGTATTAATTTCAATCCTCCAATTGGCCAAACAGATTTTGAGGCGGCAGCTATATCTGCTCTTCGATTTGTATTCCCAAATATAGTGATCAAAGGTTAAATTATAATATATGAAAATTATAATTTAAAATATTTAGGATGTTTCTTCCATTATTCTCAAGCTTTATGGCGGAAATGTCAAGCTTTGGGTTTAGTTAGGGACTACCTGAACGACTCCCATGTCCATATAGTTGTTAGGCGGATGACAACTTTACCATTTTGCAAGGAGGAGCATTTGGCCGAGGTACTTTTATCTTGCTACTCAATGGCAACTAACAATCCATCCCTACTTCGTTTTATGGAGTATATGGATCATACGTGGCTTGGTGAAACTGCCTTATTTCCCCAAACTATATGGACAAGGTATAAAAACTTAAAATAATTGTAATCAATCATTCTAATATTTCTAATATTTATTAGGTATCATGTAGATGGGCCCCGCACAAATAACCATCTCGAGGGGTTCCATCATGCCCTAAAAAGAAAAACAAGCAGTGCACATCCGAATGTGTACGTCCTAATAAAAATATTGATCGAAAATCAGAATTCGAACGATATTAAATTGATACAAATTCATAATGGATCGATTGTTCGGCGGGCAAATCGCACTTATGAAAGATTGAATCATAAAATAGACAATTTAACGTCTATGTATGATAGAGAAATTTTAAATTTATTTTCTTTTTAGATAAAATATCATTTTTAGTTAATTTTCAATCATCTAATATATATTCAAGTTATTCTGATTAAATTATATATATATATTAAATTGTGCATTATTACTTTTGTTTTTTATTATATTTATAATCCGAAAATATAATAAATATTAATACTTTTTTATATTTTTACAAAGATATACGTATATATGAAATTGTACTTTATTATACTTTTTATTTTTACAAAAGATATACGTATATATGCAATTGTACTTTTGTTTTTTAATATATTTATAATCCAAAAATATAATAAATATTAATACTTTTTTATATTTTTACAAAGATATACGTATATATGAAATTGTACTTTATTATACTTTTTATTTTTACAAAGATATACGTATATATGAAATTGTACTTTATTATACTTTTTATTTTTACAAAAGATATACGTATATATGCAATTGTACTTTTGTTTTTTAATATATTTATAATCCAAAAATATAATAAATATTAATACTTTTTTATATTTTTACAAAGATATACGTATATATGAAATTGTACTTTATTATACTTTTTATTTTTACAAAGATATACGTATATATGAAATTGTACTTTATTATACTTTTTATATTTACAAAAGATATACGTATATATGCAATTGTACTTTTGTTTTTTTAATAAATTTATAATCCGAAAATATAATCAATAAAAAAATTTATTCTTATAGTTACTAGTAAGACAAGTGAGTTACATATACTTAAGAATCTATAAAAAAATTTATTCCTATAGTTTCTAGTAAGACAAGTGAGTTACATATACTTATGAATCAATAAAAAAATTTATTCCTATAGTTTCTAGTTAGACAATTGAGTTACATATACTTATGAATCAATATAAACCTTAAAAAAAATTTATTCCTATAGTTTCTAGTAAGACAAGTGAGTTACATATACTTATGAATCGATTAAAAAATTTATTCCTATAGTTTCTAGTAAGACAAGTGAGTTACATATACTTATGAATCAATAAAAAAATTTATTCCTATAGTTTATAGTAAGACAAGTGAGTTACATATATTTATGAATCGATAAAAAAATTTATTCCTATAGTTTATAGTAAGACAAGTGAGTTATATATACTTATGAATCAATAAAAAAATTTATTCCTATAGTTTCTAGTAAGACAAGTGAGTTACATATACTTATGATACAATATAAACCTTAAAAAAATTTATTCCTATAGTTTCTAGTAAGACAAGTGAGTTACATATACTTATGAATCGATTAAAAAATTTATTCCTATAGTTTCTAGTAAGATAAGTGAGTTACATGTACTTATGAATCAATATAAACCTTAAAAAAAATTTATTCCTATAGTTTCTAGTAAGACAAGTGAGTTACATATACTTATGAATCAATATAAACCTTAAAAAAAATTTATTCCTATAGTTTATAGTAAGACAAGTGAGTTACATATATTTATGAATCGATAAAAAAATTTATTCCTATAGTTTATAGTAAGACAAGTGAGTTATATATACTTATGAATCAATAAAAAAATTTATTCCTATAGTTTCTAGTAAGACAAGTGAGTTACATATACTTATGAATCAATATAAACCTTAAAAAAATTTATTCCTATAGTTTATAGTAAGACAAGTGAGTTACATATATTTATGAATCGATAAAAAAATTTATTCCTATAGTTTATAGTAAGACAAGTGAGTTATATATACTTATGAATCAATAAAAAAATTTATTCCTATAGTTTCTAGTAAGACAAGTGATTAACATATACTTATGAATCAATAAAAAAATTTATTCCTATAGTTTCTAGTAAGATAAGTGAGTTACATATACTTATGAATCAATATAAACCTTAAAAAAAATTTATTCCTATAGTTTCTAGTAAGACAAGTGATTAACATATACTTATGAATCAATAAAAAAATTTATTCCTATAGTTTGTAGTAAGACAAGTGAGTTACATATACTTATGAATCAATATAAACCTTAAAAAAAATTTATTCCTATAGTTTCTAGTAAGACAAGTGATTAACATATACTTATGAATCAATAAAAAAATTTATTCCTATAGTTTCTAGTAAGATAAGTGAGTTACATATACTTATGAATCAATATAAACCTTAAAAAAAATTTATTCCTATAGTTTCTAGTAAGACAAGTGAGTTACATATACTTATGAATCAATATAAACCTTAAAAAAAAATTTATTCCTATAGTTTATAGTAAGACAAGTGAGTTACAGATACTTATGAATCGATTAAAAAATTTATTCCTATAGTTTCTAGTAAGACAAGTGAGTTACATATACTTATGAATCGATTAAAAAATTTATTCCTATAGTTTCTAGTAAGACAATTGAGTTACATATACTTATGAATCAATATAAACCTTAAAAAAAATTTATTCCTATAGTTTCTAGTAAGACAAGTGATAAACATATACTTATGAATCAATAAAAAAATTCATTCCTATAGTTTCTAGTAAGATAAGTGAGTTACATATACTTATGAATCAATATAAACCTTAAAAAAAATTTATTCCTATAGTTTCTAGTAAGACAAGTGAGTTACATATACTTATGAATCAATATAAACCTTAAAAAAAATTTATTCCTATAGTTTATAGTAAGACAAGTGAGTTACATATATTTATGAATCGATAAAAAAATTTATTCCTATAGTTTATAGTAAGACAAGTGAGTTATATATACTTATGAATCAATAAAAAAATTTATTCCTATAGTTTCTAGTAAGACAAGTGAGTTACATATACTTATGAATCAATATAAACCTTAAAAAAATTTATTCCTATAGTTTCTAGTAAGACAAGTGAGTTACATATACTTATGAATCGATTAAAAAATTTATTCCTATAGTTTCTAGTAAGACAATTGAGTTACATATACTTATGAATCAATATAAACCTTAAAAAAAATTTATTCCTATAGTTTCTAGTAAGACAAGTGATTAACATATACTTATGAATCAATATAAACCTTAAAAAAATTTATTCCTATAGTTTCTAGTAAGACAAGTGAGTTACATATACTTATGAATCAATATAAACCTTAAAAAAATTTATTCCTATAGTTTCTAGTAAGACAAGTGAGTTACATATACTTATGAATCAATAAAAAAATTTATTCCTATAGTTTCTAGTAAGACAAGTGAGTTACATATACTTATGAATCAATATAAACCTTAAAAAAAATTTATTCCTATAGTTTCTAGTAAGACAAGTGAGTTACATATACTTATGAATCAATAAAAAAATTTATTCCTATAGTTTCTAGTAAGACAAGTGAGTTACATATACTTATGAATCAATAAAAATATATTCCTATAGTTTCTAGTAATACAAGTGAGTTACATATACTTATTAATCAATATAAACCTTTAAAAAAATTTATTCCTATAGTTTCTAGTAAGACAAGTGAGTTTCATATACTTCCGAATCAATATGACCACCATCCACTACATTTCAAATATTATTGAAGACGCCTGATTAAAACATTTATATTATTATTATATATTTTATATTAAAATATTTTATATTAAAATATATTATATTATATAATTATATATACTTTATAATATATTACACTTATATTAGGATTTTATTATATTATAATATTACATTAAATAATATTTTAGTGTAATACATTATTAGTTATATATATTTTATTATATTATACTTATATTAGGATTTTTTTTTTTATTTTATATTATGTATATTTAGAAGATTAATTATAGTATTAGAATGTAGTACCTTTTTAGTATAATATTATTAGTTTTATTTTATTTTATATTAGTATTATATTATATTAGTATTATATTATATTGGTATTATATTATAATACACATTATAATATTGGTATTATATGATATTTGTATTATATTATTATTATTATATATTTTATATTATATTACACATAATAATATTGGTATTATATTATATTGGTATTATATTATATTGGTATTATATTATATTGGTATTATATTATATTGGTATTATATTATATTGGTATTATATTATATTGGTATTATATTATATTGGTATTATATTATATTGGTATTATATTATATTGGTATTATATTATATTGGTATTATATTATATTGGTATTATATTATATTGGTATTATATTATATTGGTATTATATTATATTGGTATTATATTATATTGGTATTATATTATATTGGTATAATATTATATTGGTATTATATTATATTGGTATTATATTATATTGGTATTATATTATATTGGTATTATATTATATTGGTATTATATTATATTGGTATTATATTATATTGGTATTATATTATATTGGTATTATATTATATTGGTATTATATTATATTGGTATTATATTATATTGGTATTATATTATATTGGTATTATATTATATTGGTATTATATTATATTGGTATTATATTTTGGTATTATATTATATTGGTATTATATTATATTGGTATTATATTATAATGGTATTATATTATATTGGTTTTAAATTATTATTGTATATTTTATATTATATTACACATTATAATATTACATTATTTTAGTATTATAGTGTATTACAATATTAGTTTATATTATTAATTTATATTATTAATTTATATTATTAATTTATATTATTAATTTATATTATTATTATATATTTTATTATATTACACTATATTATATATTTGTATTTTATTATATAGGAAATATTATGTTACTTGTGGTGTTTTAAATTACGTACAAAAATATTTGGCTATTTTGAACTTGGCGATTTCGTGTGGGAACCCCCAAAGTAGTTTGTTCCCAAAATAATTATGAAAATCCAAGAGATTAATGCTAAATCGCAACAATTATCAATAAGAAAATTGGAAATTAAAGTATATATTATTTAATTTGCATATAATAATTAATTTTTTTAGAAAACTAGTAAAAATAAAGATTGCATAATTTATGCAGGATATGATTATATCTTCCATAAATATGGAAAGAACGCTATATATTACACATGCAGAAGAAGATGTGGAGGAAGAGCTAAATTTAGTAATACTGAATTTAGTATCACTGTAAAACATTTAGAAACATGCAAGCCAATTCAAAGTAAATAGTTATAAATATTTTACCATATATTATCCAATTAATATTCCAATTTAGATGATTCTCTAAGTCTAACCTCTGACTTTCAAGGTCCATCTATGAAACTCCCTGTTCAAGGTAAATAATTGTGATTTATAAATTATTTTAAATACTCAAATTATAGGTATAAATATTTTACCATATATTATCCAATTAATATTCCAAGTTAGATGATTCTCTAAGTCTAACCTCTGACTTTCAAGGTCCATCTATGAAACTCCCTGTTCAAGGTAAATAATTGTGATTTATAAATTATTTTAAATACTCAAATTATAGGTATAAATATTTTACCATATATTATCCAATTAATATTCCAATTTAGATGATTCTCTAAGTCTAACCTCTGACTTTCAAGGTCCATCTATGAAACTCCCTGTTCAAGGTAAATAATTGTGATTTATATTATCTTATATGCTCAAATTTTTATTTCTTTAAGACTTTGATTGCCCTAAGAAAAGATATATATCGATATCAACACAAAGTGATTTTTATAGCTAAATATTTCATATAAATATATTTTAGCTGACAATGCTCTATTAATGGACGCCTCTACACAGACAAATATATCATTATTTTCACCAAGTATAAAAAATTAAAAACTTAATTACTGAATCATGTGTATTTATATTATAGCATCAAATGTATGCACTGCAGAATGCCAAAGTAAAATATCATATATATATTTACAATAATTTTTTAAAGCTCTTAATCTACAAGTTTTGGACATCACAAATAGTCCAAGTAAATTTCAATTATATATTTGTGCTATCAATTTTTTAACAAAGTTATGAACCCAGAGGTAATGGAAGAAATAGATGCCCATAACAGAATTATCAATAGTCCAAGTAAATAGTATCTTATAGATATTTATATCATTTTTAAACATAGCTATCATTCAAAACAATCAATATAGTTTTATAACATCAAAAAACAACAAAAAAATGATATATTATAACAAATATTTATACAGCCATGATTTCGGCGACCTATATTACAAATGCCGAAAGAATACTTGTAAGGGTAGGGGTAAATTTGGGTCACATTTTACTGTGACCCAAACACATAACCACCTCGATGATGAGGAGTATTACCACTTTCTTGTAACAATAAATCTTCTAAAAGACCAAATAAATATAGATACTCATTTGAGTATTCTAAAAATTTATCAAAAAGTCATGAGGACAAGAAAATTAGATTTATATTGTATAAATCATCCAAAGACTTTGCCAACATTTTTGGCGGTGAAATCTATAATGGGTCGAGTTGTTCAGTCAACTAGACCTTCATTCCCTATAAATAATTCCAGTATTATTTTACATGATGAACACAAATTAACAATTGATCGGAGACAGTTTTTACTTTTTAATAGTGAAGATAATAAAATATTTATTTTTACAACTTATAAACTTTTATCACGCCTATGTTTGGCTGAAAAAATTTTTTTAGACGGTACTTTTAATGCCTCTCCTAAATTATTTAAACAATTTTATACTATCTCTATTTTAATTAATCATACTTTAATTATTTGTGTATATATTTTATTGCCAGATAAATATAAAAATACTTATTTAAATATGTTTTTATTATTAAAAATCATTGTTTATCTTTAGGGTTATTTTTTTCCCCCCGTTTGCCACTATTGATTTTGAAATTGGCGTATACTTAGCCCTTAAAGTTGTTTTTCTCACTATTATAGTTAAGGGCTGTTATTTCCACTTCTGTCAGTGCGTTATTAGGCGCATTCAAGATAGTCATCTAACCCGACTATTTAGACAAAATATTGAAATAAAAAAATTTTTTCGAATTATAATGGCCATTCCTTTTTTGTTAGAAAGGGATGTGCAATTTTTAATTAACGATCTTCGGCGACAAGCTGAAGTTTTTAGAATAAATTCAATACATGATTTTTTAAACTATTTTGAAAATACTTGGATTAATTTTAATGCAAAATTTAAATATCAAATGTGGAATACATTTGATATTAGGGGCGTGAGGACGAATAACCATGTAGAAGGGTTTCATCGTTCATTAAGGGAATACATTCCTTATTCGCATCCTAATATTTATCTCTTTATTGACACCATAAAAATTATAGAACAAGATATGGACTTGAAATTAATCCAATTAGATGATGGCAGAAAGGTTACGGAAAGAAAAAAAAAATATTGTATATTAGACGATAAAATTAAGGAAAATATAATACTATACTGTGGAGGTTTTTTTACCCCTATAGAATATTTGGAAAAAATATCAAAATTTTTATATTCAAAAAAATCAAATCACTCTAATTTTTCTGCCATTGTCTAACTATATTGTTTTATATTGTCAATAAAGGATAACATTACTATTAATCCGAGTATTTATAGTCGGGTTTGACAGAGGTGGTATACGTCATTTTCAAAATTTATAGTTTTTAATTTTTTTTTACATATACCTTATCATATTGTTTCGTCATCGACATTTTATTTATATAGTTAACACGCACTAAACCATTTTTAATAAATTTCCATACCATGTTTTAATCATATTTATATAGCGCTATACTAATATGTTAACTTATTATAATCGCAATGGAAATATATTATTTTTAATATTGTTTACAAAATATATACTATATATTTAAAATTTTTTATGACATAAATAATAAATAAATCCCTAAAATTATTATTACTACTTTATGTTCATTCTTAAATAAGTTGAATTTTCTTACCAGGTAAAAGCGTGCCACTTAAATTTTAGAGTACTTATGATAAACTTCAATATTTATATAGTTTCAAAGCAGTGACGAAGCGTCAAATTCACTACTAGGGAAGCAATAGAATTTTTATTTTTAGTCAAACCATAAAAAGATTAAAATATATAAATAAGTATAATTCGTTTTTGTTTTTGAGTAAAATGATCAAACACAGAATTATAATAGTTATTGCTAGATTTTAAATTTTTTAATAACTTTTTTTCAATCGAAGTCAAAAATATTTTTATCTTGTACTCAGTATCTTTTTAAAATTTTTAATAAGTATGATTTGAATATAATGGGAAATTTTTTATAAATATAATACTGCAATACCTTCATCAGCTCCAATTGAAAGGTTATTTAGTTTTGGCACAATGTTAAGTATGCCGAAACGGCAAAAGTCCAATTATAAATATTTGAAAAATTTGATTATCTTATAAAATAATGAATTTATTTTAAATACTCTTTTGCAAATTAATATTTCAACTCCCATTAAAAATACTAGTCTCCCTTCATCTATGCTAAGAATGGGCTAATACTAATATTAAAATACCTGATTATTATAATCAACTCATCATTAGATATTTTAGTAATTATTGTAAATATTCATTCTTATTATATGAATGTTATGTTCTTCACAAATAAATAATAAAAACTGTATTTTACAAACTATTCTAATTTAATTGGTAATGATAATTTAGAAGTATAAAAGATACAAGTATCTTTTATCTTGTATCTTTTTGATATTTTGAAAAAGATATTAGTATCTATATCTAAGATTCATTTTTTCACAAAGAATCTGTATCTAGATTCTTTTTCCGGATGACCTGCCCAACTCTGGGTATTGTTTATAATTAATAGGCGTCATGTCTAAGCAAGGATTTATAAATTCCTTTGCATGATAAGAATATCCTTCACAATCTTGAACTGATATCTATAGATAATGGGAAAAAAATTTCTATATATGAGTTTTAATATTATATATATATTTTTTTATTATATTTGTCTTAATATTTTTATAATATATATTAATTTAAATTATATGCTCATACATATAACATAAAATTTGCATCTAAATATTTTTATTTTTTAGATAAAAAGGCGTTAAATAAAAGTATATCAAAATATATCTTAAAAAGTATCTATAAACAGATACCTTTGAAATAGTATATAGATGCATATACTTTTTATACAACTCTGATCATCATAATAAATTTTCAATAACATAATTACAATTATTAAACATTAATTAAGTAAGGAAAAAAAATATAATAAAAAAAATAAGCATTTTTTTATTTTGCTTCGTCACTGATTTAAAGATATATTTATAGTATAATCATGCTGTCTGTTATATATTAATAGATCTAGAAGAGTTTTCTAAAATATTGTAAATTATCTGCAATTTATAATATATTATCTTAATTAATTAAATTTTTTAATATATTCTTTTCTATTATTAATATAAAATATGATCATATATTTTATATACAATTATTATAATATTAATTGTATATAATCTATATTAATTACCATTTAGCAATTTACATTTATATTTAATTTTATTTAAAATAAAAAGTATATTTTAATTTATTTGTCTAATCTGTTACATCATTTCAAAATTATACAAATATTAAAATCGCTTCAAATATATTTGTGGCCATTTTAGGTCATTTGACGTTTTTTCATAAATGTTCATACGATCTGGCGGACCCTAACCCTTGTTTTCTATATATTAATATTTCTTGCTGACAAATAATGGATAATCAAACTACAAAATGGCGCTACAGCTGATTACAATATGTGGACACTTTTATAATGCATTGAATGAATGAATCGCCAATCTATAGTTATATATATCATTGCATCCGACTCAATCCATAAGTTCTCAGAATATGGATGTGATAAAATGTCTCATTATATTATTATCATAGGAATATATTTTCTTAAAATTTTTGCCCATACCATCTTGGGCAGCTGTTATTAAAGGTAGAAAACATTGTAAATTTGATTTTTTAAGATACCTATGCCCCTTTTAAGCTCATAAATAATATACTTTCATATGTTTATCAAAATTAATTTGTGTTTAACCCTATATCATTTTTTTGTTTATACAGGTTTTTACATAAAGCTTGTACATTGTCTTTTTTTAATTTTTATTTTAAAAAAATTTAAATAATTTTAAGATTGGGATTTGATTCAGGGGAACTTATTACCAAAATTTAAATTTCACTACCCTCTTCTTCACTGCTATGAGTGTTAATCATCCTACAAATTAAAAAATATCATATAAAATTGGTAACGATATTCTATCGATTTACATTTATATAAAAAATATGATCGTTATTTATTTTGTGTTGGTATTATTATTTTTTTATCTATCTACCTATGAGTTGTAAATTTCCCAGCTAATTTTGGTTGTCAATATATTTAAAACATGGCGGAAAATAATAAGGAAATTAATACAAGATTCTCGAAGAAAATAATATATATACTTTTATATGAGAAATTTTGAGCATGAATATTGAAAAGAATCTGTATCTTTTGCCAAGAAACTGAAAATGATACAAGATTCTTTTCAGAAAAAAGGATCTTAGATACAGATATTAGTATCTTGTTAAAAATATACTGAGTACAAGATACAAAAGGAACTTGTATCTTAGATACAAGTATTCGCGGTATGGCCAACTTTGATTATAAGAGTGTTTTTCTGTTATAACATAATAACTAGATGCCTGCAAGCTTTTTTTTATCTTGATGCTTGGTAAATCTTTTTTTAAAAGACCCAACATGACCCAAACTTTCTGTAAAAGCTTAATAGAGGGGAAAAGTCATTTCAAAAAATACTTTTTAATCTGCTCGATTGATAAATTTTGAGTATCTTACAGCACCTTATCTATTTAGTTTTTCTCTCTCTCTCTCCTCATATACTATGTGTCCGCTTTAGACCCAAATATTTTAATTATGATCTTCAGTTAAAGTTTTTTTTAATTAGAATATATATCTCGTCGGCAAGTTGCTTTCCCTCGATAGGCAATATCTAACTAAACTAGTTTAAATTTATAAGCCCTTCCGATTCGAAGCTATATTAAACTTTACATTGATAGAGGAATGTCTATATATATTTAGGTAGATCTATAACTGTGGAGAGATAAATTTTGCAAAGTTAACATCATCCAATAAATCACATTAAAAAATTATTTTATATTAATATCTTAAATCAAAAATGTTTAATTATTTCTATGTTTATAATTGCTAATATTTAAATCCGTTTAGATTAGGTTTGTTCATAATTTTTTGAAAGAGATTTTATAATTATTGTTCGTATCATACTTTGGGTTGAGCACCTGCCGATGGCTGATTTAATTTTACCATTAACCTATTTAATTAAAACCTATGATTGAGCAAGACATAAGAAAAGTCTATTAATTAATTAATCAATTTTTTTAAGTTAAAAAAGATATCGCGTCAGAAATATATTATCAAAATTGATTATTTGAATAAAATAAGGATTAGAAATTAATATTTTGTATTTCCTTTATTATCTCCACCCATACACTTGTTTAGATATGATACAAAAATATATGTATAAATAGTTTTATTATGAAATATAATTTTCGCAAATTATCAATTTTTTCAAATGAACAATAAATTTAAAAAGCTACAAATATCTTTTAATAAAATATAATATTTAATTTCACACAATACAATGTTAATATTAATTTTCTCAAACTGTAACACATTATAAAAATAAATTATATGGTTGTTCGATATTTAAGATTGAATGCTATTAACTATTACTGGAAAAGTATCAGAGCTATTAGCTGCAATGGAGGTATCTACTACATCTTCTTCATCTATAAAACTTTCAGCTAAGAATGGGAAATGTAGAGGTAGTTCTAAGATTCGATTAAAGGATCTTGAACTTCTTCCAAAAAGACCCCAGATATCACCACATTCATGTCTGCATCACCAGCCTGATTGCCAGATACTTAAGGAAAAATTTATTTTAAAAAAATTTGTTATTTATAATAAAGTTAAAGGATAATATTATATCACAATTTAGATGAACTATTTTTAATAAAATTTAAAAGATAATATATTAACAAAATTTTGATTAACTATGATAAAATTAAAAAGAAAATATATAAACAAAATTTTGATTAACTATGATAAAATTAAAAAGAAAATATTAACAAAATTTTGATTAACTATAATAAAATTAAAAAGAAATTATTAACAAAATTTTGATTAACTATAATAAAATTAAAAAGAAAATATATTAACAAAATTTTGATTAACTATGATAAAATTAAAAAGATAATATATTAACAAAATTTTGATTAACTATGATAAAATCAGGGATGTTAACCCTTCGACAAAAAAAAGGATCAGGGTTCGGGTCCGGTAATAAATTTAAAAAGGACCCGGGTCCAGGGTTCGGGTTCAGAGGAAACATAAAAATAATGACTCAAAATAAGACTTTTTTTCTTCATTTTTTATTATACTTCAATATATACACATTTATAATTCGAAATGAGATAATGTATATTTTAAATATTATATTCAATCGTACAATCATGATATCTTCTAAAATATCATCCTTCAGATTTCCACGTGAAAATCCACGTTCTACGCTTACCTAAAATAGATAGTCATTTTTATAATACATAAATTATTGTACTTGTGTCGCCGGTACAGCCATGACGATTCTAGAAAAGGTATATAATTCTGGATATATTGAAGAATTTTTCTCCCAGAATTTTAAAATGTTTGCATCTCTATTTATTCGCATAAATTCCGAGAACTTTTCTATTAAAGATACAATAGATATTTTTGCTCCTTTCTATCAGATGATAATTTAATTTTTTTCTCTATCTAATAGTAAAATTTCCAGATCATCAATATCGTTATCATTTATCGCTACAACCAGTAGATATTGTTGTAACCACCAATGTATTGTAAATAATAGAGTTTTGGGTATGCCATAAATCTTCAAGATGGTCTATAGCCATTTGTTTTTGCTCACTACTTAATAAAACCTGATATCGCGGGTCTAAATATATCGAAGCATATACAACACTATTTTTTAAATATTGTTGCTCTTATTTTCGTATTTTCTAATACTTCATTTGAAAAAGAACTTGTTAATCTCCCTAACTCTAATCGACATCTTAACCATATGCCATAAAAATCCGATAAACATATGCACTGTTGTTATTTTTAAAGGAACCAGCACACTAGTAAGCTCTTTTACTTGATTCCAATCATCTTCTGAAAAAATGATTTCACATGCTCCTATGATAAAATCATTACAGAAATCTTTCAAACTTAATAATCGCTCTAGCATCATACACATAGAGGACCAACGTGTTGTGCATTCTAAAATTGCCATTTACCTTTTCATGGATTTTAATATTCTAACAATTGTGGGAGTTCTTATATATTTTACAACATCCCTTGCTTTATCAATTATAGTTTTAAAGTGACTATTTTTTAGGGAGATTCCACGAAAAAAATTAATAAAATTATAAAAATTTTTATATTATTTTTTTTTAAATTAATAAAATTATAAAAATTTTATATTTTTTTAAAAATTATATTTTTACATTAATTAAAAAAAAAAATTTAAGTTAAAAATTTTTAACACCCTGAACCCTTGGATTCTTCACTTTTTAAAAGGGTCCGGGTCCGGGTTCAGCCAAAATACGAGGGTCCAGGAGGGTTCAGGGTCCGGGTCCGGGTTCACATCCCTGGATAAAATTAAAAAGAAAATATATTAACAAAATTTTGATTAACTATAATAAAATTAAAAAGAAATATATTAACAAAATTTTGATTAACTATAATAAAATTAAAAAGAAAATATATTAACAAAATTTTGATTAACTATGATAAAATTAAAAAGATAATATATTAACAAAATTTTGATTAACTATGATAAAATTAAAAAGAAAATATATTAACAAAATTTTGATTAACTATGATAAAATTAAAAAGAAAATATTAACAAAATTTTGATTAACTATAATAAAATTAAAAAGAAATATATTAACAAAATTTTGATTAACTATAATAAAATTAAAAATAAAATATATTAACTAAATTTTGATTAACTATGATAAAATTAAAAAGAAAATATATTAACAAAATTTTGATTAACTATGATAAAATTAAAAAGAAAATATATTAACAAAATTTTGATTACCTATGATGAAATTAAAAAGAAAATATTAACAAAATGTTGATTAACTATAATAAAATTAAAAAGAAATATATTAACAAAATTTTGATTAATTATAATAAAATTAAAAAGAAAATATATTAACAAAATTTTGATTAACTATAATAAAATTAAAAATAAAATATATTAACTAAATTTTGATTTGATAAAATTGATCCCTAAAATACTTCTGCAGTCAAATACTTGCAAATATCTAGAAAATAATAAATTACATCTTGTATATTAAAATCTTGCATATTAAATAATTTACCATGCAGTATTGAAGTAAAGACTTTATGTAAATTTTCTAGGAAATTTTTCGAAATATTGAAGCGAAATGGTATAATGACAAAAGACGGACAAACGGATCGGACCGATACCCTTTATAGGCTGCATTAAACGGGCTTTACAAAAAACAAGTGATACGTGATAAAAGCGTTTTCGCCCTCTGGTTGTGGATACAACAGAGCTACGCTAGGTTTTCCTCAAAAATCCATCAAACTGGATAGTTAATTAAGGGGATAAAAATGAAGAGCTCTTCACACGTTTGTGGGCAAGCCGCACGTACTTGTACGCGCAACAGTCCGAGAACTGTTACTTAAACGTCTATAGGCTAATAGACAAAAAGAAATGGGCAAAACAAAAGCCTATACCCAAGAACTGCAAAAATAATTTAATTACTTTAAGGGTGGGTGGTGGCTAATTTTAAGTTTAACATTTTTAATGTAAGCCTTGATAATTACTATCAATAATTGAGAATGTGTTCATATCAATTGAAATTAGAAATAAAGGTAAAAAGAGAAGGTAATTTATATTTATCACATTTTTGAATTATAATTTTGAGAGTAAGGAAAGGCTCCATGATATTCTTGCCTGGATGGTAGGCACAGATGTATTTCGCGAAAAGATTATGTGATGTTTGTAGAATTTGTGTCTTAAGTAAGACCATATAGACCTTAAACGCAATAGAGGTGAGAGCTATAGCCCTATAATCTCGAAAGTTGATGGGATTAGGGATCTTTGGAAAATTGCACATCATTGATAGGTTCCAATCTTTAGGAGTTATCCCAGAAGACCATACCTTATTAAAAATAATGGGCAGAAAACGTGGTATCGCGTCTGATGCAGCTTTCAGTTGTTCCCCCATTATATTGTCCTGTCCAGGAGCTTTATGATTTTTCAGTTTCTTTAGGGCAGCAGATATCTCAGCCAGTGTAAAATGGGACAGATTGAAAGGTAGTATATTGTTCCGGAAAAACTATCGTGGGTTTTCTAGATTCAAAGACATTCATTCTGTCCATAGGGACATTTGATCATCCTGAAAATATATAACTTTGCTGTTTCTAACCGTATCGATGGTAATTCTCAAAAAAATTTTTTTTGATTTGCAGAAATTATTGAGTTTGTTAAATAGTCTACCTTTTCTCATATCTTCATCAACCTCGAAGACTTTCCTAGCTATGAAGATTCTTCTATCACTCCTTAAGGACCTCTAGATGGTTTTCCATAGTTCTCTATCAAAGTAATTTGTGCAGCGAAGCTCCTCAATCATCATTGAAGTTGTCATTGATATCCATTCATTCCTAATCGGGGCATTGTTATTTGTTAAGGCCCTGCTGACTTCCTGAATATCTTCTTTAAAAATTAACCAGCATTCTTCAACCATTTTAGATAGGGCTATGTCCTCAAATCTAATGACCTTTTCACAAAAATTATGGTTAAACCTATCTCTAATTTCTGGTATTTGTAGATTTCTAATATTTTGTCTACTAATTATATTTATCGGGAAGTTAAATATTATAAAAATATAAAATTCTATAATATAAAAGTAAATATATTCTATTTGTTTATCTAGACAAAAATTCTATAAAAGTTATAATATTCTATAAAAATTATAAAAAAATATATTTTATGAAACAGAAATAATAAATATAAAATGAAAACGTCTATCATAAAAATAAAAAATCTAATAGAATAAGATAAATTTAATAGAATAAGATAAAATTTAATAAAATAAAATAAGATAAAATTTAATGGAATAAGATAAAATTTAATAGAAACTATGAAGTTATAAGATGGTGAAACTATACCTGAGCTGTAAGTTTCATAATAAGTTAATGAATATAGCAAAGAAAGAAGTAAAATATAAAGATATAAAAATAGTACCTTCCAGATAATTTATAAAAATAATAATTATTAAAATAAATTATATTAGAGGTTCATAAATATTAAAATTAATTATTATTTGTTAAATCATCTATAATAAAAATTAAAATAATATCAAAATAAAGTTAAAATAAAAAGGCTACTAAATAAAATAAAATTAAAAGAAAGATATTATAAGTAAAGTATCATATCAACATTAAAAGAAAGCAACTTGTGACTAAAATTAAGGAAATCATCATCATAAAAAGAAAGCAACTTGTGACTGAAATTAAGGAAATCATCATCATAAAAAGAAAGCAACTTGTGATTGAAATTAAAGAAATCTAAGTAATTTTGTCCAACCTCTAATTTCATCTAGTATTGATATAAAGGATAACTCATTGTCATAATTCAGTTGCCTTTACATATTGAAATTATTTAGTGGTTTGGCAGTAATAATGGAATTCTTAAAATTTTAATGTTTGTATCTAAAATATAAAATAAAATCATCAAAACAAATAACCTCCATGCTCTCAATGTCAAGGGAACTTTTATCCGTTAGGCCACTTCCAAACACGACGTTTTTTCAAAACGTTTTCCGAGGCACGTTTTTCGCAATATTTTTTACTTCCAAACAGCAACGATTTATATTTTACAGCTGATTTTTTAAAAATGTCTTATAACTAGATATTTTATTATGAGACATTATAAAAAAAAACGAAAAGTAAGTATAATTTATAAAGAAAGAGATCTGTATAGTAGATCTTTAAATGCTTCAAGTTCTAATTCAAGAGAAATTAGAGAATTATTTAAAGACTATTTTAATTCTTAAATATATGTTTAATTTAACATTTTATCATTATATATTAAATAAATAAATTACTTTTGTATGTGTATATAAATTAATAAATTACTTTTGTATGTGTATATAAATCACTTATGTATGTGTATATAAATCATTTATTTTAATTTAAATTTATAAAATAATACATAACTATTTAAACATCATCATTTTCTACTATAATATTATTTATATAATTATAAATAAGAGTTTGCACATTAATTTTCATGGCGTCCTTAACTTCATTTGGCACCTTCTTTACATTATCAACCAAAGACAGGCACCATAATCTATCTGGGTCATTATCAATTTCTAACATTTTGTCAAAATATCTTTCCATTGGGTCTTTTGTTACTCTAGCCCTTTTTACAGGTCTTACATTCTCTATATTATCTGTGATATTATATAGTGTCTTTCTTGGTGTGGTGGAAGTAGTAAGAAATGATAGTGAATCATACCATTTCCATGGAGTGCTAGCTTTTGCAGCATCCCCTGAATGCACTTCTTCTCTCTTTCTCTTTTCCTTTAAATAAGAATCCCTCAAATTCTTCCATTTTAATTTACAGACATTTGGGGATGAATCAAGCCTGGTAAATAATAAAGGATAAAAAATAATTTTATTTAAATAAAGATATAAATTATTAAAATTCATATTCCATGCTTACTAATAAAGTATCTAATTAAAAAGTCTGTTAATTAAAAATTATTATTATAAAATAGTCAATATTTTCAATATAAAGTCTTTACTTTTTAGCACATAAAGTCCATAGTTCATCTACTAATAATCTATTAGAATAATTATCATTAGATTGGTTCCATAAATCGTCATGATCTTCTACAAAATTTATCAATTCAGATACAAAATTTCCTCTAAAATCATTTCATTTATTGAATAAAAAAATTACTTATTCATTTCAATTGTATCAGACGCCATTTAATCGTTAAAAAAAATCAAGCTAGTTTGTTATTAAAATAATCGCAAAATCGTATGCATGAAAAAATCGTTTGGTTTGGAAGCACACATCTATTAAGCTTAATTTGTTATTTATCGCTTTGAAAAAACGTCGTGTTTGGAAGTGGCCTTATCTGAATTTTGTAATGATATGGTTATAGAGTGATGTGGTATGGTTTTATGGAAGTGATTTGTGAATCTCCTTGTGGAATTGGTTCCCACACGAAATCGCCAAGTTCAAAATACCACTGTTAAATTTTACGTGATACGTGATAAAGCGCATTCGCCCTCTCAACGTTGTAGGAACAACAGAGCTATGCTAGGTTTTTCTCATTTCCATCTAATTGGATTTATTAAGGTGGGGAAGAAAATATAAGAAGCCCTTTACACGTTTGTGGGCAAGCCGTAGGTACTTGTACGCACAATAGTCCAAGGATTATCGTTTAAACGTCTATGGGCTGATTGAGAAAGAGACAGGGCCAAATAAGACAGCCCACACCCATACCTACTGTCCTAATTTTATCTAACTATGATTGGATAGGGGAAGGCTCGTTTAAGTTAATGTTTAAAGATTCGCATTTAATAAAAAAAAATATGTTATTTAAATAAAAGAAAACTTGTACTCTTGAGGTGGCTGAGGGAGAGGAAGGGTATAGTTGTGGGTAAGGGTGAAGTAACGGATAGGGGATATCATCTCAGGTACCCAGATTTTACCTTAAGAAGCTTTTTGATAGATTTTTTATTTTTGTTTAGTCTGGTGAACTGTTTCCAGTTTAAGTTCAGGTCAGCAACGTCTTTCAATACCCGGTGGAGCCATAATGTTTTGTATCTGCTGTATGATTTACCTTTACAGGTAATAAGCCAAGTTAAAGCATCATGAACCAAATTGCAGTTGGGGTGTCTCAGAACGTGCGCTAAGAAATTAATTCATTTTTTCTTTAGTATGATATGGAAAGGAATATGTTTTGATTGTTTCCATAACCTTTCGTTCGATATTAGTCTGGGGTAGAAAATGCCGTTAATTATCCTTAAACACTTGTTGATAAACGTTTGACATTTCCTATTATCAGCTTTGCATATTTCCCATGTTTCACAGCCATATAATAGAATGGGAATCACAGTGGAATTAAAGATACGTAGTGAAGGCAGGTATCTCCCTTGTCTTCCATAACTTGAAGTACTTGTAAAAAGCTACCCTAGCTTTTTGTATTCTTACCCTGAGTTCTTCTTTACAGCCCCCTCTATTAACTAGGGTAATTCCTAGATATTTTATTTGGGTAACCACCTTAATCACCTCAGACCCAACATCGATACTTTCTATGGGAGACGTGTGTCTTGCTAACATAATCATGGTTTTCTTGAAGTTTATTTCAAGCCCGACTTTCGAGCTCACCAATTTCAACAAATGAATAAGATTGGAGGTTTCCTCTAAATCCTTGGTGATGATTACCACATCATCGGCGTAGGATATAATCCTGTTCTCTAGATTGTACTTATTCGGATATAAGTTTAGTTCCAGCAGGTTTGCAGCGTCTAAAGTATCTTTTATCTTATTCATAACTATATTGAAGAGGATTGGCCAATGAACACAGCCTTGTTTCACTCCTTTTTTTATCCTAAACGTTGAAGAGATTTTATTGTTTATTCTGCATGAGGTAAGCAAATTGTTATAATGGTGCCGTAATATCTTGATTATGTTTGTGTCAACCCCAACTTCTGATAAAATCTTCCAAAGCGCATCATGATTAACATTATCAAACGCCTGTTTAAAATCGATAAAAGTGAAAAAGAAAGGTAGTTTATATCTATCACATTTTTGAATGTGATTTTAAGAGCAAGAAAAGGCTCCATAATGTTTTTGCCTGGGCGATAGGCGCAGATATACTTGGCGAAGAGGTTTTGCGATGTTTGTAAAATGCGAAACTTGAGGAGGATCATAAATATTTTAGAAGCAGTAGAGGTGAGTGCTATTGCCCTGTAATCTCCAAATTTAGTGGGATTTAGAATTTTAGGGAAGTTGCAGAGGGTGGATAGATTCCAGTCCTTCGGTGTCACCCCTGTGGACCAAATTTTATTAAAGATGGTTTGCAGGAAACGTGGTACTGCCTCTGATGTTGCTTTAAGATGTTCACCAGTATTATTGTCTGGGCCAGGAGTAGTGTTGTTAAAAGGCTCGTTTTGAGCCGATTTTTAAAAACGGCGAACTCAATATTTCATCCAGAAAAAATATTACCCAAGCCTGAAGATTTTGCTCATAGAAGGTACAAAGGTCCAGATATATATTATAGAAATCTTGAGGCTTAGGCAATATTTTTCTGGCTAAAATATTGAATTAGCCGTTTTTAAAAATCGGCTCAAAACGAGCCGTTTAACAACACTAGCCAGGAGCTTTGTGATTCCTAAGTTTTTTAAGTGCAGGAAATTTCGGTTAGTGAGAACTGAGAGGTATATTGAGGTGTGGCTTGGAAATCAGATAGTACGCTTGTCGGTTTCCTGGATTCGAAGATCCTAATGTAGTGGTCTGTCCAGAGCGCCAATTGATCATCCTGGTCGATTATAACTTTGTTATTTTCCAATCGAATGGAAGGGAGTTTTTTGAAAATTTTGGATTTGCAAAAATATTTGAGTTTGCTGTAGGCTGTTTCCTCTCATATCTGCATCAATCTCGTGTGCTTTCCTGACCGTAAAAATTCTTCTGTCACTTCTAAGCTATCTCTGTAAAGATTTCCACAATTCTTTATCAAAGTGGCCTTTTAAACGGAGCTCCTCAATTTTTATCATAGTAGTGGTG